TAGGACAGATGTCAGAGGTAGGTTCTTTACTCAGAGAGTAGTAAGGGTGTGGAATGCCCTGCCTGCAAAAGTAGTAGACTCGCCAACTTTAAGGGCATTTAAATGGTCATTGGATAAACATATGGATGATAATGGAATAGTTTAGGTTAGATGGGCTTCAGATTGGTTTCACAGGTCGGCACAACATTGAGGGCCGAAGGGCCTGTACTGCGCTGTAATGTTCTATGTTCTATGTTTGTGTGTATTTGCACCCATTATATGTAGAAGATAAACAAGATTGGTTTGGTGCTTTAACTGTTCATTGTACTTTCTAGATATTTGCTCTCACAAATTATTAATGGGAATTGTTCAGTTTTCAGGGTATGCAGCGAACATAAAGTCTGAGGAGGAGCCAAATGCATCAAATTGGATAAGTGAAGACTGTGAAACTGACGCAGAAGAACTTACTCAATCAACCAACAAAAATAGGACTTTTCTGGAGAGTTTTGAAAAGTTACAGAAAGAGCTGGACTGGATAGGGTAACTAACTAACTCCATTTGGCTGCCTTTTCATACATGTCACCAAGTCTTAAAGCATAGAAAGAGACCATTCAGCCCATCGTGCCTACACTAGCTCTTCAAATGAGCACCATTACCTAGCGCCAATCTCCTGCTTTTTTCGCATATCCTTGCACGTTATTTTTATCCAAATAATTCATTACCCTCTTGAATGCCTTAATTGAACCTGCCTTCACTACATTTTCGGACTATGCATTCTCTAACTACTCATGGAGTGAGAAAAAGCATTTTGTCACATCACCACTGTTTCCTTTGCAAATTACCTTAAATCTATGACCTCTTGTTTTTGTTCTTGTAATATGTGACAATATTATTGAGAATGTTACAAGGCATTCATATGAAATTATATTGCTTGTTGTTTTAATTGAAGTGTTAAACTTATTTCAATGCTGCAGTAATCGGGGTCAGTTAGTTCCGTTGACCGAACAGCTGGCTTTTGATGCAGAATGATGCCAATGAGTGTGGGTTCAATTCCAGCACGACTGAATCTACCATGAGGAATTTTCCTTCTTAACCTCTCCTTTCACCCTCAGGTTAAACCACCATCAGTCGTCTTCTCTGTAACTTACCTGCCCGCTCACCATAACCCTTAATTCCTTTACTGTTCAAAAATCTACCTATCTTTGCCTTAAACACATTCAGCAAGGTAGCCTCAACTGCTTCACCGCGCAGGGAATTCCACAGATTCACAATCCTTTGGATGAACAAGTTCCACCCCAACTCAGACCTAAATCTGCTCCCCCTTATTTTTGGGCTATGCCCCCTAGTTTTAGCTTCTGGGATGTCTTCTTTACATTGACTTCTGAGTCTGTAAAACAGAATTCTAAGTCCAGAAAGGGCTGATGGGCAACCCTTAGCGCAGAGAACCCCTAGTCCTTTAGAAGCCAGGTTTTTTAGGGAATGAAGGCAGTAAACCTACTCTCTAATTTTCTTCAAAGCCTTCCTTGATTGTTCCTCCTAAATTACCTGATTTCTTGTAAACAGCAGGTAAGCCACAGACCACATGAAAATGTTGGCTTTATTTCCAATAAATCACATGGTTAAAAACCTTTCTCAAAGCAGAAAATGTCCAAATAGTTCAAAATATTCCAGTTTCTTCCAGACAGTCCTGAAATATAAATATGTAATTCCAGCAATTACAAAGAAATGTACAACGTGGGTGTAAACGCAATGCTATGGTGCAACTTGTAGTCCTCTGTCCTGGCTGACACGTATCCCTCACCCAACACCCAGCTGGTAAATTGGAAATCCATCTTGTTTGCTGTTGGTTGGTCATTACCGTGTCCTGAACTGGCTCTGAGGTTTTCCTACATTAATGCAGAAACAATACTACAAAAGCAATTAACTGCCAACGAAGATCTTTGAGCTAGCTTGAGGTTGTAAATAAAATAACTGTACAGAGACTAGTATCCAGCTACCACGTCACACTGTATTTACACATGGACAGTCCTTGACCATAGTACTGCCTCCTATAGGATCAGGCACCAGTGTGTCAGTATCCCTGATTCTCAACCCTTTTATATCAGCCAGAGCTCCCTGATTGGACCAGACTAACAGCCCCAGTCAGGGAACTCATAATCTATGATGTCCAGCTGGCTGCCCTCATTACGATCACTGCAGTAAACCTCTCCAGTGGAAGGCCTTTCTCTTACAGGTTTGTAAATTTGATGAATATTGTCAGAAACGTTGAAAATAGGAGCAGTAAGCCTTTCAAGCTTGCTTCATCAATTATTCCACATGTAACCATTTTGGGTGGGTACAGTGAGGAGCTGGAGGAACTGTCCTGATGAAGGGTCTCGACCTGAAACGTCGACTTTCCTGCTCCTCTGATGCTGCCTGACCTGCTGTGTTCCTCCGGCTCCGCACTGTATCGGCTCTAACTTACAGCATCTGCAGTTCTCGCTATCTCCTAACCTTTTTTGGTGTTGCATTGGATGCCTCATTCTTCCTGAGGTCCAGTTCATTTCAAATCCTTTTTGATTGCTTCCAGTCCCAGTAGTTTATTGCTGCTGTCATATGGAGCTTGGCCAAGTACCATGAAACTGATAACATTTCTTTCAACGGTAGCTGCAGGTTTCAAAATTTCAAATTCTGCAACCATTTGGTAGTCGTTGTGAGACAGACAGAGTGCCTTCTTTTATTATGATTTGTATATTGAGAGTAATTTGTTTTATGTAAAGCTCAGTTTATCAATCTGAAGTCAAGATATGGTAATTTAGCAGCAATTCAGACAAATAGTCCAAAAGCACTGGAATTATGTTGTGGAAAACATGTGTTAAAATTCCACCCTGTTTTTTGGGGGGGCATTTAATTGCCATATTATTTTTAAAAACCAAACTGATGTAAATGCAGGAAGCTTGCATTGGTTGGCCTTTTGTATAATAGAAGGGGCTGCACTAATAAGTTACTTGAGACGTTTGCTGCCATAACTTGGGAAGTTTTGTATAAAATATGCGTTAAGTAGCGGTACATTTCCTTGCTGGGAGGGGAAGGGGGTGTGCAGAGGGAAGAAAACACATCTTTTTGTGCCTTAACTGCTGAAAAGTTCTAGGAAATTCTGAATTTCCATTAATTTGTGAAAACCTCAAATTGTACAGCATAATGGATCTTGCTATCCTGATACGATATCAATTGAGTGATAAGATGGACCCTTCCAATCCAACAGGTCCAGGAAATTTGAGTAAGTCAATCTTGCAGACAGACAGAACATAATTGCCTTGAATCTGTGTGCCAAGTTATCATAGCTGTAGTTTGTAGTTTGGATGTTGCTGATAGATGATAGAATCATCAAATCATACAGTACAGAAGAGGCCACTCAGCCCATCAAGTTTGTAAAACCAAAAATACACTGCTACCTACACTAGTACCACTTTTCTGCACATGACACTTCAAATGTTCATCCAAGTACTTTTTAAAGGTTGTGAGGTTTCTGGCCCCTACTACCCTCCCAGGCCATGTATTCGAGATTCCCACAACCCTCTGATTGACAACTTTTTCCTTAAATCACCTCTAAACCTCCTGTCTTTAACTTAAAAAGTGTGCCATCTTGTACCTGACCATTCGATTAGGAGGTGCAGCTGCTTCCTATTCACCCTGTCCATGTCCCTCGTAATCTTATACACCTTTATCAGGTCCCCCTCAACCTTCTCTGTTCCAAAGAAAACAACCCCAGCTTATTCAGCCTCTTCCCATCGCTGAAATGCTCTGTCCCAGGAAACATCCTGGTCAATCTCCTCTTCAGTGCAATCATATCCTTTCTAGACCGAAATGTGTTAAATGGTGATACTTGAAGTAATTTCAGCCCTGAGGCGAGTTTCATCTTAAATCTGCAGCTATAACTCTGCTCTGATGCGGCTTTTGCTGTTATTCAGGCAGGAAAAGGAAAGCCTTGCTGAGGAGAACATGTTGTTGACTGCACTTAAAGAAGCTGAAATGGCATCAATATCTGCAGCTGAGCAGGTGGCAAGACTTCGGAACTCCGTTGCCGAATTAATGCAGGTATGCACAAAGCACACCAATTACATGGTGAAGCCCTCAGTGATACTTAGCAATCTCAGCATGTAGCAGTTGATCCCCTGTGGTGAATGATACATGAAGTCAAAAATCTAAGATGGAAAAACAAATCTTCACATTTCCCATTTTCTGAAGTGACTGTGTAGTAATCTTGCAGCAAATATTTATTATTGTTTTGGATTTGTTGCAATTTTGATTCCTGATGTCCAATAGTGGCATTTCAGTAGGTCTGTGGTAGTTGATTACCATTGAAGCCCTGGAAAGCAGTCATCTATACAAATCTATGCATTAACCACAAACTAGTGCTGTGTCCAGGGCACTTTTTTTTTATTCATTCATGGGAAGTGAACATCGCTGTCTGGGCCAGTATTTATTTCCCATACTTAGTTGCCTTTGAGAAGGTGGTGGTGAGCTGCCTTCTTGAACCGCTGCAGTCCATGTGCTGTGGGTAGACCCACAATGCTATTAGGGAGGGAATTCCAGGATTTGGACCCAGTGACAGTGAAAGAACGACGATATATTTCCAAGTCAGGATGGTGAGTGGCTCGGAGGGGAACCTGGTGGTGTTCCCATGTATCTGCAACTCTTGTCCTGCTAGATGGAAGTGGTCGTGGGTTCGGAAGGTGCTGTCTAAGAATGTTTGGTGAATTTCTGCAACGCATCTTAAAGATAATACATACTGCTGCTATTGAGCATCAGTCACGGTGGGAGTGGATGTTGTAGATGTGGTGCCAGTTAAGCAGGCTGCTTTGTCCTGGATGATAACATCCTGAATGTTTAATTTTAATTTGACACTGATTTTAATTTGAACCAGAACTAAGGGCTTATGCCTATTGGAATGGTTTCAATAGGCTTGAGGTCTTGATTCCAGAAAAGCAAAGGCTGAGACCTGCCTAATTTAAGTCTCCTAAGGTTAGGGAAGTGTTTGATAGGGGATAAATAGAAAAGTTGCTTTCCCTCGGGTGGAAGGACAGAAGTAGAAGCCATAAATGTTAATGAATCCAACAGGGAATTTGAGCGAAACGTCCCTTGGGTTTGTTTTTTTATTTATTCATGAGATGAGTGATGCTGGTTAGGCCAGAATTTATTGCCCGGGGGGCACTCAAGTGTCAATCACATTGCTATTGGTCTGGAGTCACATGTAGGCCAGCAGTTTCCTTCCCTAAAGGACACAAGTGGACCAAACTGTTTCTAAGCCACCCCTGAACAGTTGGCACCAGTTTTGTTGTCGTCCTTAGTCCAGATTTTTATTGGATTCATCTGCCACAGCGGGATTTGAACCCAGATCTCCAGAACATTCCCTGGGTCTCTGGATTAACAGTCTAGCAATAATTCCCCTAGGTCATCCCCTCCCCTCGCAGTGTGAAATTTGGTACCACAAGAAGAAATGAGATGAATAGTCCAGAAGCATTTAAAAAGATGCATTGTGAAATGGATAGCATATAAATGTAAGAAGGTGTCACTGTAGCCATACAACGCACTGAGTACCATGCGCAGTTTTGGTCTCTAAACGGATATGCGTCCGCAGGAAGCATTTCACATGGCCGGTTCCTGGGATGAAGGGGATGAGTTTTGAGGAAAGGTTCAGTAGGTTAGGCCTGATCTCATTGGAGGTCAGAAGAATGAGAGGTGATCATACTGAAGCATATCGGTTTCCGCCAGGTCTTGACAGTAGTTGTTGGTAGGATCAGAAATTGCTGGAAAAACTCGGCAGCTCTGTGGAGAGAAAGCATGTTAACACTTCAGGTCCTGCGACCCTTCTTCAGAACTATTTGCGGCTGGGTGAAGGTCAGTATATATGCAAAGGTTGGGCGGAGAGTTGGGGGATGGGTAGGAGTAAACAGTAGGTAGAGATGGAGACCAGGGAGAGAGAAACACAGTTGGGCAGTTAAAGGAATGGGTAAAGCGTGGGAGAATAAATAGCTGCTAATAGGGACCATTAGTGGCTGACAATGGGTTGATTGTGGTAGCAATCTCTATGATACTGGTGTGTGGGGGTTGGGGTAAGGCCATGGGAGAAGATGCTGAGGTCCTAAAGTTATTGAATTTGAAGTTGAGTCCTGCAGGGTCCTGAGGAAGTTAGATGTTGTTCTTCCAGTTTGCACTGAGCTTCACTAGAGCAATGTAGCAAACTCGAGACATAGATGTTGGCCAGGGAACATGATGCTGTGTTGAAATGGCAGGCAACCAAAAGCTTAGGGTCAATTCAGCAGACGGAACATAGGTGTTCTGCAAAGCAACCGTTTCTGATTTCTACCATCTGCAGTTCTTTAGCTTTTTTTGATGATGGAAGGATGTTATATAGAGCCTTGGTGAGGCCGTACCTTGAGTGTTGTGTGCAGTTTTGGCCTCCTAGTCTGAGGAAGGATATTCTTGCTATTGAGGGAGTCCAGCGAAGGTTCACCAGACTGATTTCTGGGATGGCAGGACTGACATTTGAAGAAAAATTGGATCAACTCGGCTTGTACTCACTGGAATTTAGAAGAATGGGGGGGCATCTCACAGAAACCTATAAAATCCTTATGGGACTGGATGGGCTAGATGTGGGAAGAATGTTCCCAATGTTGGGGAAGTCCCGAACTAGGGCTCACAGTCTAAGAATAAGGGGTAAGCCATTCAGGTCTGAGATGAGGGAGAACTTCTGCATTCAGTGAATTGTGAGCCTGTGGAATGCTCTACCACAGAAAGCTGTTGGGGCCAGTTCATTAGATATATTCAAGAGGGAGCTGGATGTGGCCCTAGTGGCTAACGGGATTAAGGGGCATGGAGAGAGGGGGGAGTGGGATACTGAAATTGCAGGATCAGCATGGTGGTGCAGGCTCGAAGGGCTGAAATGCCTACTCCTGCACCTGTTTTCTATGTTTCTATGTTTCCTCTTGGCGGGAGGCTGTAGAACTACCGACACAGTATAAAAATGGGCAGTGTTTGCTGACACTCACAACTACGTGTGTGGCTAACCTGGGTGCGCACAATTCCTGACCTGTCAAGTCATCTCTGTGGGATTTCGATGGCATCCTATGCAAAGGCTGCTCTGACTCTGTAGCCATACAGCACAATTTTCGTCTCTAAAGGCATATAGAAGAAGCACATAACGTGTGCAGAGAAGGAGTACAAAATATTGAAACTTGGTTCAGTTGGGGAGTGTGCGGGGAGGACAGGGGGAAGAGTCAGGATGTGAGGTGGTGGAATAGCATGGGAGGATTCCCCTCCCCCTTCCTACCCTCCCCATACCTCTCTCCCCATTCCCCTCACTATTCACAGTCCCTTTCCTTTCCCTTCCCTGCCCTTCAACCCACTCTCCTCCTTGCTCGGCCTCTCTTCTCTGCCTCCCCGCTGTTCACAGTCGCATTGTCCCAGCCACAGTCACAGCCATATCCTGTTTAAATCCACCCGATTTAAATGTGCGTCTGTGAATTTAAAAGGTGCGTGGGACTCACGAGCTGGCGCGGCAAGCACAGCCATTATAGTAAGGGAACTCCTATTTAAGTTTGAGCTGTGGAGAAATTCGCCCAATGTTTTGAGTTCTCCTTCTCACTAGAGGCTGTGCCAATGAGCATATTCAAAGCTGAGTTCATAGAATCCCTGCAATGTGGAAACAGGCCATTTAGCCCACCGAGTCCACACCGACTCTCCGAAGAGCATCCCACCCACAGGCACCTGCCTACCCTACCCCCATAACCCTGCATTTCCCATAGCTAAAAACCAAAAGAACTGCGGATGCTGTAAATCAGGAACAAAAACAGAAGTTGCTGGAAAAGGTCAGCAGATCTGGCAACATCCGTGAAGAAAAATATCAGCCTTAACGTTTCGGGTCCGGTGACCCTTCCTCAGAACTCGTTCTACATGAAGATAAAAATTTGAGTTCTGAG